TACCGGTGGCTTTATCTACTTCTGTACTTTTTTGATTATTTGTCTAGATGAAATATCACGTTTCTGGAGCAGAATAACATATCGCCTTTCTCACTTTTCTTTTATTTTTCATTCTTATTCGTCCTCCCAGCAAAGACGATAAGTTTGGCGTTTTTCCCCTCGAGAAAGCGCTTTGTGTACTCTGTCACTGCTCTCAGAGATTTAACGCGTCGTGCAGTTCTTGCCTCGTCTATCCCTTCGACTCATTTATATCTCCTTGCGAAAAATCTCGCGAGAGAGAATCAATTTATTCGTTTCATTGAGGATTTTTCAGACAAACGATTGCAAATTTTTTGATAACTGCCACTCTCTGTCAAAAATGTTTAAAGTGTTTTTTATCGCATATGTGTGTAACTAAATATTATTCGATTCTAAAACTTATTTGTCTAAGTCCTATCCTGTTCAATTCTGAAAATATTATCAATATTTCCATTTATAATATGAAATATTTTTATAAATAAAATAATTCAAAAGAATAAATTATTATCACAAAATTTAATGTACAATATTATAATATTATTTTAAAATTAATGGAAATATTTCTGCAAAATATCTAGGAGGAAAAAGATAAATATTTAATTTTAATTATTGATATAAGAAATAAATTTGGGAGGAGAATTTAATACTTGTACTTCCTTATTGAAATCAGGAAATAAATTTTGTATGATACTAACATAAAAAATTATTATGTGCAAAGAAACAGGCAGAAATAAGTAAAATTGATTATTTTCATTTTAATTAAATAACGATGTAATTTTAATAATGTAACTTTTGTAACTTCTGAAAATTTTTGGAAAATGTTGATTAAATTATCGATTGTCAAAGTGAAAATGTTAGTTTTGTGATTATTAAGTAAGAATTCGCGAAAATCATGTTCTAAAAGTAAGTGGCAATCGATTCTTGTGTTTGTTTTGTTTTACTAACATATTTATGTTAATGTTATTAATATAAACAACAACACAATTATCATTTTCCTATTGTTTTTGTTAACTATTTGAGAAAAACTGTGACACATTACTTCAAAGTGCGCAGGAATGCGTGTGCGAGAAACTTGGTTGGTGTTCGCGATCGTTTCCCTCAAAGGTCTTTCTTTTTTTTTCTTTTTCACTTATCCATATGTTTTTTTCTTTTCTTTCATTTTTCCGATTGTCGCCCGTGACTGATTATGGAAAAATAGCGCAACAAATCGCGAAATATTTATGCCCCTTAAATTCGAAATAATTTCGTATCGCGTCTTCTCCTTAATCTTTAGTTTAGTTTTCTTCTCTCATTTTTTGCATATATTTTTTTTCTTTTTTTCCTATCTTCTCTTGTGCTTCCCTCTTTTTCTCTTGCGCTCCTCAAGCTGTCTGCACGGTTAAAAACTCGGAGAGCAGTCTGAAGAGAGCGCGTAAAAAATGGCATGTAAAAACTTGCACTATTCATTTATCAGATGTCGATTTCACGTGCTCAATATACATCGATAATGAAAATTTACATGTTCTAGAAAATTAATATTTTATCTATACTATGACAAAGTCATATCTGCATCTTTGAGGTCATAGTTTATATATACAAAAGAATCTTATTTTTCATTTAATTTATATGATTTATATATATGAACAATGAAAATTCAATGGAGAATTATCATTAATATACAAGTGCCACATCTCCCAAGAAGATGCAGACATCATTAGTACATGTACGACATGGCAGTCTAAGCGTTAAATTAAAATTGATATTGAATTTCACAATATATGCAATTAAATTTAATTCTGCATATTCATGACATTAATTATGAGTTTAAGAGATTTTTTTTATTACAGACAAAATGGAATTGATTTTTTTCTCAGCTAATACCGACTCAGCTTGATGATCGTAATTTGCCGAGACTTCAATTAAATGTCTTGAAAATTAAATCTTGAATAATATGACTTTTAATTTTTATCAATCTAAAATTAATTAAAAAGTTGTTTTTATTCCTTATATAATCTTGATATAAATAATTGAAAATATAAGAAAATCTTTATTGAAGAAAAATCGTGTCCAAAATACGTCTATTATTGATGTTATCCCTAATCATGACGTAGCTTTATTTGCATATCAACAATGTCATATTTTTTTCTTAAGATTAACTTTCATTGCTAACTATGGCAGCAAGAAATTCGAGCAGTAAAGAATACGATGCGTCAACTTGTTGTTTAGCATTTGTTTTTAGATTGAAAAAAAGCTCGTATGTTTAAACCTAACTCTTGGCAATACTTGGAAAATCAGCTTAAAAATCAAATCAAATTAAAATATGGAATGTAAGAAAAGAAAATTATGAAAATTATCGACAATGTATTGTATAGTAGCAAATCCAGATCCTTCATTACTTTTAATTTTATTATAACATACTGTATTTTATGAAATAGAAGAGATTTACAATAATATGTAATAAATGAAAAAATGTATATATATATATATATAAATTGTTATTTTTTTCTTAATTAATTATTCTATTTTCAATTTTTTTTGCTCCAGTCGATTTGCTAAAGTCAATGGCTAAAATTAAAATTAGCACAGCCGTAAAGAGAAAAAGTCAGAAATTAAAAAATAAATATGTATTTTTATAGTGCTATTTTTTTGCTAATTAATTGCTTTGTTTCCCATTTTTTACTTTAGCCGATTGAAGATATAGCATCTCAGCTTAGCATCTCTTGGCAGAGAGCAGGACTTCATAGTTATGCATTCTGAGTAATGCTCAAGTAACCCGCAACTTTCATTTGATTTTAATTATGTTGTAAAACTTAATTATGTTATAAAGTCCATCTCTTCTTTCAATTTTGACAAAAAAATTTTAAAGCATATATGCATATATTGAAAGCAAATAATTAAAAATTTCAACATAAAAATGGCGATAACTCGAAAACAAAGGATTTTTAGACCCATATCAACTTCCTTTCTTGTTTTCCCCACTCATCTCCTGAATGATTGATCTCAATTTATCTCGACTTCAGACAAACACTTCGTATACTGCTAAATTTAGGCTTAATTATAGGACAAAAGGAAGTTGCGCTATGGGAATCTAATAGATGATATTAATACATCGCTAAGATGAATTCAAGATACATCGCGACTTCAATGCGTCGGAACCGGGTTAATGGAGCCGTACTTCGCTCTCGCAATTTCTGGAAAGCAGCGCCGATCGGTCGCTGATTAGACCTCCGAAGACAGCAGCGGGAATGCAATTTCTTGAAAAGTACGTCGCCCTTCCATTACTTCTCGCGAGGAGAGAATCGGCCTCCCCTTCAACGAAGGCGGACAATTTTCGAGATGCACGTTAGTCACGTTGCGGTACGTAGGCCGCATAGAGAAAAGGGATGCGAAAGATAGGGATGGTAGGGCGAGATTTACGCACTTGTTGCAGTCGCGCGGATACGCCCGATGCAATTTCCGACGAAAATTACGCACGCGCGCAAGTACCCGGGCAAATCGACCCCGTCGTAAATTGAGTCCTGCCAGACTGAAGTCCGCTCCGCCGTTGTCGTTGACCGATATCCTCCATAAAATACGCGCACAATTATCGATCGTAAGTTGCGAAAATAAATCACGCCGTGAAAAGTATAAAGTTGAATTAATTGGATAATTTGCAAAAATTATTCGAGGATATATATTTTCGGTTGCATGCTTAAATGAATTATATAAAGAGGTTTTCCGTCATCTTCGTACAAGGTTAAATCTTCTTAATTCTTGATTGCAGATTCTTCTTTTCATCGCGAATCTGTATTCAAATCATTTCATTGCAAATGTATGAATTTATAGAATAAGTGAAGAAATGAATTAATTCGACACGGTCTATCATTTTATTTTCTAGTTTAGTCTCTTCTTCATATTAGAAGAAATCATCTCCTGCTTTTTTTATGCTTATAATTTTTTTTTAATTTATTTCAAGAAATATAAGAGGGACAGAAGAAGAAATTTTTTTTAGAGTATATATATATATATATATATATATATATATATATAATAATAATA